TGAGTGGCCCTGGCCTGGGGGCCCCCAGCCCCTGCGCTCGCCCTGCCCCACTCCCCCGGCCCGCGGGGACAGAGGGGCGCCCGGCAGTGCTGCGGGACCGGGACGCTGGGGGCCAAGCACTGGGCGCACGGCAGCTGCAGGGGGGGACTGAGGGACGTCAGCACGACTTTGCCTAGGTGGGGAGCCCAGGGCACCCTGGGGGGCCGCAGCAGGACTGGGGGGCAGGGCTGGGCGGGAAGAGCAGGGGGCTGTGGGTCTCTGCCCGTCTGATCGGTGGGGAAGTTCTGTGTCAAGCCCACCTTTGCCTGCAGCCAGCGCGCTAGGGCGCTGCCCCACCCCCACAGCCAGTGTGCTAGGGCCCTCGCCCTGCCCCCCCAGCCAGCGCGCTAGGGCGCTGCCCCACCCCCACAGCCAGTGTGCTAGGGCCCTCGCCCTGCCCCCCCAGCCAGCGCGCTAGGGCGCTGCCCCACCCCCACAGCCAGTGTGCTAGGGCCCTCGCCCTGCCCCCCCAGCCAGCGCGCTAGGGCGCTGCCCCACCCCCACAGCCAGTGTGCTAGGGCCCTCGCCCTGCCCCCCCAGCCAGCGCGCTAGGGCGCTGCCCCACCCCCACAGCCAGTGTGCTAGGGCCCTCGCCCTGCCCCCCCAGCCAGCGCGCTAGGGCGCTGCCCCACCCCCACAGCCAGTGTGCTAGGGCCCTCGCCCTGCCCCCCCAGCCAGCGCGCTAGGGCGCTGCCCCACCCCCACAGCCAGTGTGCTAGGGCCCTCGCCCTGCCCCCCCAGCCAGCGCGCTAGGGCGCTGCCCCACCCCCACAGCCAGTGTGCTAGGGCCCTCGCCCTGCCCCCCCAGCCAGCGCGCTAGGGCGCTGCCCCACCCCCACAGCCAGTGTGCTAGGGCCCTCGCCCTGCCCCCCCAGCCAGCGCGCTAGGGCGCTGCCCCACCCCCACAGCCAGTGTGCTAGGGCCCTCGCCCTGCCCCCCCAGCCAGCGCGCTAGGGCGCTGCCCCACCCCCACAGCCAGTGTGCTAGGGCCCTCGCCCTGCCCCCCCAGCCAGCGCGCTAGGGCGCTGCCCCACCCCCACAGCCAGTGTGCTAGGGCCCTCGCCCTGCCCCCCCAGCCAGCGCGCTAGGGCGCTGCCCCACCCCCACAGCCAGTGTGCTAGGGCCCTCGCCCTGCCCCCCCAGCCAGCGCGCTAGGGCGCTGCCCCACCCCCACAGCCAGTGTGCTAGGGCCCTCGCCCTGCCCCCCCAGCCAGCGCGCTAGGGCGCTGCCCCACCCCCACAGCCAGTGTGCTAGGGCCCTCGCCCTGCCCCCCCAGCCAGCGCGCTAGGGCGCTGCCCCACCCCCACAGCCAGTGTGCTAGGGCCCTCGCCCTGCCCCCCCAGCCAGCGCGCTAGGGCGCTGCCCCACCCCCACAGCCAGTGTGCTAGGGCCCTCGCCCTGCCCCCCCAGCCAGCGCGCTAGGGCGCTGCCCCACCCCCACAGCCAGTGTGCTAGGGCCCTCGCCCTGCCCCCCCAGCCAGCGCGCTAGGGCGCTGCCCCACCCCCACAGCCAGTGTGCTAGGGCCCTCGCCCTGCCCCCCCAGCCAGCGCGCTAGGGCGCTGCCCCACCCCCACAGCCAGTGTGCTAGGGCCCTCGCCCTGCCCCCCCAGCCAGCGCGCTAGGGCGCTGCCCCACCCCCACAGCCAGTGTGCTAGGGCCCTCGCCCTGCCCCCCCAGCCAGCGCGCTAGGGCGCTGCCCCACCCCCACAGCCAGTGTGCTAGGGCCCTCGCCCTGCCCCCCCAGCCAGCGCGCTAGGGCGCTGCCCCACCCCCACAGCCAGTGTGCTAGGGCCCTCGCCCTGCCCCCCCAGCCAGCGCGCTAGGGCGCTGCCCCACCCCCACAGCCAGTGTGCTAGGGCCCTCGCCCTGCCCCCCCAGCCAGCGCGCTAGGGCGCTGCCCCACCCCCACAGCCAGTGTGCTAGGGCCCTCGCCCTGCCCCCCCAGCCAGCGCGCTAGGGCGCTGCCCCACCCCCACAGCCAGTGTGCTAGGGCCCTCGCCCTGCCCCCCCAGCCAGCGCGCTAGGGCGCTGCCCCACCCCCACAGCCAGTGTGCTAGGGCCCTCGCCCTGCCCCCCCAGCCAGCGCGCTAGGGCGCTGCCCCACCCCCACAGCCAGTGTGCTAGGGCCCTCGCCCTGCCCCCCCAGCCAGCGCGCTAGGGCGCTGCCCCACCCCCACAGCCAGTGTGCTAGGGCCCTCGCCCTGCCCCCCCAGCCAGCGCGCTAGGGCGCTGCCCCACCCCCACAGCCAGTGTGCTAGGGCCCTCGCCCTGCCCCCCCAGCCAGCGCGCTAGGGCGCTGCCCCACCCCCACAGCCAGTGTGCTAGGGCCCTCGCCCTGCCCCCCCAGCCAGCGCGCTAGGGCGCTGCCCCACCCCCACAGCCAGTGTGCTAGGGCCCTCGCCCTGCCCCCCCAGCCAGCGCGCTAGGGCGCTGCCCCACCCCCACAGCCAGTGTGCTAGGGCCCTCGCCCTGCCCCCCCAGCCAGCGCGCTAGGGCGCTGCCCCACCCCCACAGCCAGTGTGCTAGGGCCCTCGCCCTGCCCCCCCAGCCAGCGCGCTAGGGCGCTGCCCCACCCCCACAGCCAGTGTGCTAGGGCCCTCGCCCTGCCCCCCCAGCCAGCGCGCTAGGGCGCTGCCCCACCCCCACAGCCAGTGTGCTAGGGCCCTCGCCCTGCCCCCCCAGCCAGCGCGCTAGGGCGCTGCCCCACCCCCACAGCCAGCACGCTAGGGGTTCTCCAGCCCCACACCCACAGCCAGCGCACTAGGGCCCTCGCCCCACACCCACAGCCAGCACGCTAGGGGTTCTCCAGCCCCACACCCACAGCCAGCGCACTAGGGCTCCTTCAGCCCCACATACACAGCCAGCGCGCTGGGGGTACTTCAGCTCGCTCTCTGCACAGGAACCACCCAGCGCTTCCCCAGCTGACCTCACCCGGAACTGGGTCAGACCCACCCTCCAATTAACCCTTTCAGAGCCCCCGACACACGAGGGTGTAACGGTAGTTCGAATTAGAGATCCTAATTTGAACTACCTGCTCCGAGCCGCATGTAGCCACGGGCACGGAGTTCAGACTAAGGGACTTTTAAAAATGGTGGCGCCCGGGAAGATGCAAATGAAGCCCGGGATATTTAAATCCCAGGCTTCATTTGCAACTTCGAATGCCTATGTTAGCCACCCTAGTTCGAACTAGGGGGCTAGTGTAGACGTACCCAGATTTACTTACTTTGGGGGGTAGCTGAGTTCCTCCCCTTTCCTCCCCCCCTTATTTATTCTTGGATCTGGACTTCTAATACTCCCGTCATCTGAAGAAGTGGGCTGTGCCCACCAAAGCTCATGATCCCATCTACATGTTTTGTTAGTCTTTAAGGTGCTACCAGACCAACTGTTGGTTTTTAAGTTTTTCCTGTGACAGACTAAGTTGGCTACCTCTCTGAAGCTTTTGACCATCAAGTGATTTACCTTAAAACCAGGGAGGAAACACTTGAATTCTCCCCCAAGGGTGCCCCAAGCTCTTTTACCACGAGAGAGCTTGAAGAACAAGAGAAGAGAAAACCAAACTGCAGCTGACTTAGCTGAGGCATACAGACAGACCTGCTGTCCCCTTCCAGGACACAAGAATCAAATCATCACCTTAAAAAGTGATTTTTATTACAAACCAAAAGACATACTTGATAAAGCACACTTGGTAGCTAGATGGTACAGAGCAACCAAGGAAAACAAATGAAAGCACAGAGACAATCTCTGGGAACAATTCTTAGATGGTGAATGGGGGAAGGGAGGCACAGATTCACAAAGAGCAGTTCAAACCAACCCACAAAATAAAGAAAAATTACCCTGCTCATCACTAGATTCCCTTTCCCCTTTATTTACTCACGATCCCTTCTTGGTTCAGTCCACTTCCGTGCCCCAAATTCCTTGGAGACACGGTAGTCCAGCCTGGGTTCAATTCATTCACTGTCTCCCAACTCCTGGTGTAACTCTCCCACCCAAAGAAAGCAGGCAGGGTATCTTGCACAATTCAGATTTCAGCATTCTATCCCCATTGGTTCTTCCTGGCTCCCTACCAACAACCTTGCTAGCTACCTGAGTTTAACCCCTTAGTCACTGGGTGCTGGCCAGCCTCCTCCTATCCATCACAAGGGGTCAGGAAGAACTGAGGGGCACTGGCAAAGCTTGGGGAAGCCCAGAGCTGAGATAGCAGGGACAGGACTGAGGGGCAGTGGCAGAGCTGGATGTGGGGAGCCCAGGGCTAGGACAGCCGGGGTCAGGAAGGACTGAGGGGCACCGGAAGAGCTTGGGGGAGCTCAGGGCTGGGATAGAGGGGTCAGGACTAAGGGGCAGCAGCAGGGCTGTGCGGGGAGGAGAGGGGGGAACACTTGCCTGGCCCTTGCTTGCATTCTGTCCGTCTCTTAGCACATTATGTTCAGCCACAAGTGTTTAGAAAAAGAACAAAGCAAGACAAGAAAATGCCCTGGCTGCACCATGCTCCTCACGCCCTCCCCGCCGACTCCTGGCCCTTTCTCACCGAGATTACATGATGAAATATTAATCAGGAGTCGTTATCCCTCCTCACACAGAGCATGGCTTCCTCCTGCAATGAGTGTTCCCAGCCTGGCTGTGCTCCCTGCAGCCTCTGCCCCGAGCTTCCAGCCGGCTCGGAGCCCACGCACGGGTCACCGGCTGGGGCCCAGCTGAGGCTCAGAGCGGGCAACTCCCCCTGTGTGCGTGGAAAGCAGCCACTGAGGGTCAAGTAGATGGCAGCAGGGGATGGACCAGGGCCTCTGCAATCCGTGCAGGGGGAGAGTGGGATCAGGCCGGTGCCCAGAGGGCAGCACAGCATGGGACAGCAGTGGGGGCAGCCACCGGGGAGTCTTCCTGCTCCCTTGGACCACACAGTGGCATTGAGATCGGCCTGTGGGGTGGGCAAACCAACCTCAACCAAGCACCACATTCCCCAGAAGAGACAGACCAGCCTGGTTCACCGTCCACAATGCTACTGCAGTCAGCGTCCCTAGCACCGCCCTGGGGTCAGCACTACGTGCGAGGGCAGAGCCCCCTGCTACCTCCCTACCCCCGTAGCACAGCGTCCCTAGCACCGCCCTGGGGTCAGCACTACGTGCGAGGGCAGAGCCCCCTGCTACCTCCCTACCCCCGTAGCACAGCGTCCCTTGCACCGCCCTGGGGTCAGCACTACGTGCGAGGGCAGAGCCCCCTGCTACCTCCCTACCCCCGTAGCACAGCGTCCCTTGCACCGCCCTGGGGTCAGCACTACGTGCGAGGGCAGAACCCCCCTGCTACCTCCCTACCCCCGTAGCACAGCGTCCCTAGCACCGCCCTGGGCTCAGCACTACGTGCGAGGGCAGAGCCCCCTGCTACCTCCCTACCCCCGTAGCACAGCGTCCCTAGCACCGCCCTGGGCTCAGCACTACGTGCGAGGGCAGAGCCCCCTGCTACCTCCCTACCCCCGTAGCACAGCGTCCCTAGCACCGCCCTGGGGTCAGCACTACGTGCGAGGGCAGAACCCCCCTGCTACCTCCCTCCCCCGTAGCACAGCGTCCCTAGCACCGCCCTGGGGTCAGCACTACGTGCGAGGGCAGAGCCCCCTGCTACCTCCCTACCCCCGTAGCACAGCGTCCCTAGCACCGCCCTGGGGTCAGCACTACGTGCGAGGGCAGAGCCCCCTGCTACCTCCCTACCCCCGTAGCACAGCGTCCCTAGCACCGCCCTGGGGTCAGCACTACGTGCGAGGGCAGAGCCCCCTGCTACCTCCCTACCCCCGTAGCACAGCGTCCCTAGCACCGCCCTGGGGTCAGCACTACGTGCGAGGGCAGAGCCCCCTGCTACCTCCCTACCCCCGTAGCACAGCGTCCCTAGCACCGCCCTGGGGTCAGCACTACGTGCGAGGGCAGAGCCCCCTGCTACCTCCCTACCCCCGTAGCACAGCGTCCCTAGCACCGCCCTGGGGTCAGCACTACGTGCGAGGGCAGAGCCCCCTGCTACCTCCCTACCCCCGTAGCACAGCGTCCCTAGCACCGCCCTGGGGTCAGCACTACGTGCGAGGGCAGAGCCCCCTGCTACCTCCCTACCCCCGTAGCACAGCGTCCCTAGCACCGCCCTGGGGTCAGCACTACGTGCGAGGGCAGAGCCCCCTGCTACCTCCCTACCCCCGTAGCACAGCGTCCCTAGCACCGCCCTGGGGTCAGCACTACGTGCGAGGGCAGAGCCCCCTGCTACCTCCCTACCCCCGTAGCACAGCGTCCCTAGCACCGCCCTGGGGTCAGCACTACGTGCGAGGGCAGAGCCCCCTGCTACCTCCCTACCCCCGTAGCACAGCGTCCCTAGCACCGCCCTGGGGTCAGCACTACGTGCGAGGGCAGAGCCCCCTGCTACCTCCCTACCCCCGTAGCACAGCGTCCCTAGCACCGCCCTGGGGTCAGCACTACGTGCGAGGGCAGAGCCCCCTGCTACCTCCCTACCCCCGTAGCACAGCGTCCCTAGCACCGCCCTGGGGTCAGCACTACGTGCGAGGGCAGAGCCCCCTGCTACCTCCCTACCCCCGTAGCACAGCGTCCCTAGCACCGCCCTGGGGTCAGCACTACGTGCGAGGGCAGAGCCCCCTGCTACCTCCCTACCCCCGTAGCACAGCGTCCCTAGCACCGCCCTGGGGTCAGCACTACGTGCGAGGGCAGAGCCCCCTGCTACCTCCCTACCCCCGTAGCACAGCGTCCCTAGCACCGCCCTGGGGTCAGCACTACGTGCGAGGGCAGAGCCCCCTGCTACCTCCCTACCCCCGTAGCACAGCGTCCCTAGCACCGCCCTGGGGTCAGCACTACGTGCGAGGGCAGAGCCCCCTGCTACCTCCCTACCCCCGTAGCACAGCGTCCCTAGCACCGCCCTGGGGTCAGCACTACGTGCGAGGGCAGAGCCCCCTGCTACCTCCCTACCCCCGTAGCACAGCGTCCCTAGCACCGCCCTGGGGTCAGCACTACGTGCGAGGGCAGAGCCCCCTGCTACCTCCCTACCCCCGTAGCACAGCGTCCCTAGCACCGCCCTGGGGTCAGCACTACGTGCGAGGGCAGAGCCCCCTGCTACCTCCCTACCCCCGTAGCACAGCGTCCCTAGCACCGCCCTGGGGTCAGCACTACGTGCGAGGGCAGAGCCCCCTGCTACCTCCCTACCCCCGTAGCACAGCGTCCCTAGCACCGCCCTGGGGTCAGCACTACGTGCGAGGGCAGAGCCCCCTGCTACCTCCCTACCCCCGTAGCACAGCGTCCCTAGCACCGCCCTGGGGTCAGCACTACGTGCGAGGGCAGAGCCCCCTGCTACCTCCCTACCCCCGTAGCACAGCGTCCCTAGCACCGCCCTGGGGTCAGCACTACGTGCGAGGGCAGAGCCCCCTGCTACCTCCCTACCCCCGTAGCACAGCGTCCCTAGCACCGCCCTGGGGTCAGCACTACGTGCGAGGGCAGAGCCCCCTGCTACCTCCCTACCCCCGTAGCACAGCGTCCCTAGCACCGCCCTGGGGTCAGCACTACGTGCGAGGGCAGAGCCCCCTGCTACCTCCCTACCCCCGTAGCACAGCGTCCCTAGCACCGCCCTGGGGTCAGCACTACGTGCGAGGGCAGAGCCCCCTGCTACCTCCCTACCCCCGTAGCACAGCGTCCCTAGCACCGCCCTGGGGTCAGCACTACGTGCGAGGGCAGAGCCCCCTGCTACCTCCCTACCCCCGTAGCACAGCGTCCCTAGCACCGCCCTGGGGTCAGCACTACGTGCGAGGACAGAGCCCCCCTGCTACCTCCCTACCCCCGTAGCACAGCGTCCCTAGCACCGCCCTGGGGTCAGCACTACGTGTGAGGGCAGAGCCCCCCTGCTACCTCCCTACCCCCGTAGCACAGCGTCCCTAGCACCGCCCTGGGGTCAGCACTGCCGTGTTTTCTGAGTCTCCCAGCAGCTGCCCGGCTGAGTCCCGCTGGCAGCACAGTGACCACAACTCACCCGGCAGTTGCCCAGCTCCTCGGCCGACAGGATGATGGTGCCACATTTTTTCCCTGGAATCCCACTGCAGGAGAAAAGAGAGGACTTCTGAGCAGCCCAAGATACCCCCGTCCTGGGCCAGCCCTGTGCTGAGAGGCCCCCGGCCCTAGACCCCGGATCCTCTTCTGCCCGGGCTGGCCCTGTCCCCGGAGCCCCTCACTCCACTCTACCAGCTTTCCTCCCCCTCACCACCACCTCTTGGCTTCACTGCCCCAGCCATAGGCTTCCAGGCTCCATCACCTGCATGTGGCACCTGCTCCCCCTGCTCCATCACCCCTTCTTGCCTCCCTGCCTTCCCCTTCCTCTGTCCCCTTCTGGGGGCTGCTGGTGCATTGCTGCCTGTGCCCTGGGTTCCACTGCAGGAGCTTTTCCTGGCGCTGCCAGAGGGGATGGCGTCAAGCAGGCTGCTGATGCAATGAGCGTGACTTTTGGTGGCCCTCTGGCTGCCAAAGGCCAAAGGGAGCCAGTGTCAGACTCAGGGGGATGTGGCCAGGAGCATTTTCCAGAACTGGCATTAGAAGGGGCTGGCGAATGGTTCGAATGCAGGAGCTGGCAGCTGGGACTTACTTGGAAGGAATTTCTGAGAGGCTCTAATGAGCATCCTAATCTAGGGGCTGGTCATTCAATACTCAGCACTGCTCCGTGGGCTCCCGCAGAGCTGGGCCACTGGACACCGGAGGGGCCTGATCCAACGGAGGTCTGGTGGACCGACCCCGCTGGGATTGGCCCAATGGCGCCAATGGAGCCAGGGGTGATTGACAGGTGACTCACTTGCACTGGGAAGGACCCGATTTAGATGCTGGCATAGAGAGGACAAGTATTAAATCCGCAGATGATCCCAAGCTGGGAGGAGCTGCAAGTGCTTTGGAGGGTAGGGTCAGAATTCACAATGATCTGGACAAACTAGAGAAATGGTCTGAGGTCAATAGGATGCAGTTTAATAAGGACAAATGCAAAGTGCTCCACTTAGGAAGGAACAATCCGGTTCTCACACATACAGAATGGGAAGCGACCGTCTGGGAAGGAGCCCCGCAGAAAGGGGTCATAGTGGACCACAAGTTAAACATGAGTCAACAATGTGACACTGTTGTAAAAAAACCCAAACATGATTCTGAGATGCATTTACAGGAGTGTTGTGAGCAACACAAGAAGTCATTCTTCCGCTCTGCTCTGTGCTGATTAGGCCTCAACTAGAGTATTGTGTTCTGGGCACCACATTCAAGAAAGATGTGGAGAAATTGGAGAAGGTCCAGAGAAGAGCAACAAGAATGATTAAAGATCTAGAAAACACAACCTATGAGGGAAGATTGAAAGAATAAGGTTTATTTAATTTGGAAAGGAGAAGACTGAGGGGGGACATGACAGAAGTTTCCAAGTATCTAAAAGAATGTTACAAGGAGGAGAGAGAAAAATAGTTCTCCTTGGCGTCTGAGATAGGACAAGCAGCAATGGGCTTAAACTGCAGCAAGTTTATTTAATTTGGAAAGGAGAAGACTGTAACTGTCAGGGTGGAAAACACTGGAATACATTGCTTAGGGAGGTTGTGGAATCTCCATCTCTGGAGATATTTAAGATCAGGTTAGATAGACATCTATGAGGGATGGTCTAGATGCTACTGAGTCCTGCCGTGAGGGCAGGGGACTGGACTCGATGACCCCTTGATGTCCCTTCCAATTCTAGTGTTCTATGATTCTATGAGCTTATAGTTCTATATAAATATCAATTCCAGCTACAATACAACTAGGCTGCGTCTAGACTGGCATGATTTTGCGCAAATACTTTTAACGGAAAAGTTTTCTATGACATGAGAAGTGGAACTTCAGGACTTGCCTGTACACTGGTGCTGGGAGCCTGCATCACAAACCAGAGGAACTGGGGCTACTCATTGAGGAGCACAAGTTCAGTGTTAATGAAATCAGATGGGATAATTCCTATGACTGGCATGGGTTATGGTCGAGGGTTATAACCTAGTTAGGACGGATGGAATGGGCAAAAGGGGCGGGGGAAGAAAAATGGCATTACCTTGTGATGCTACACCCCCATATTTTATGGAAATATGTTTTTGAGTATGAATATGCATAACTTGAATATGCTTTAAGCAAAACAGGGCAAGTAACCTATCATCCAAGAGCCCATGTCCAATGCATATCATCTATCTGTGTGCATGTATCATATTTATATATGAAGTTAGAAATGGTAAGTGGACACCTGTTTTATTAATTCTAGATGTTCTAGTGAAAGCCATTAGTGGTACTTAAGGAACTTAGTGGCCCAGTGCTCAAGACAATGATCTGTAAATGGTTTTGATTCTCCTGTAAGCCCAAACTGTGGTTGGACCTACAAAGGCCTGTGGCCCTGCTTCCTGGTGTTGGAATCCATCTTGAATTTGGTATTTTTCCATGGGGATGGAGGGAATGGAACAGACTTCCCACCCTGGGGACATTCTATGAAGGCAGTGGTCTCCAACCTTTTAAGCACAAGAACTCTTTTAGAACTAGAGTTCAATCCAGGCTCTACCTCACACACAAACACTCTTGCCCTGTCTCCTCTGTGCCCCTTCTCCAAGTCCCTGCCCTTGCTCCCTCCCCCATTTCCCCTCCCTTTCCCCAAGCAGAGGCAGAGGCTTGGGGCACAGGCTCTGGTCTTCGGCTAAGGATTTGGAGTGTGGGAGGGGCTCTGAGCAGGTCCACGAGGGGAGCTGTTTTTAAAACTGGCTCCCCTCATGGACCAGCTTCCACCTGGCACCCTGCACTGCTGCCTCTGATACAGGGGCAGGAGAGGCAGCAGCGTGGAGTGGCAGGGGCCTGGGGCAGAGGCTTGGGTGCAGGAGGAGGTTCATGACTGGGGCAGGGGATCAGAGCTGGCTCCAGCTGGTCACTGCTTATCTCAAGCGGTTCCTGGGTGATGGTGGTGGTGCAGTGGGGCTAAGGCAGGCTCTCCCCTCCCCCCCCCCCGCCCCCCCGTAGCCCTGCCCCCCCCCCAAAAACAGCCA